TGTCCCCCAACCTCCAACCTTTCATCAGATATGCAATCTACTGTAGGCTGCTGTTACACAGGCCCTTCTCAATCACATCAACAACCGTTTAATGCATCGTTTCGGTGATCGTGAATTATCTAGGCCTAATGTGGACCGACTCCACCCAGTTGAAACCACACAGGGTCACGTACTGCAAGACATTTAAGTACATGAATAACTTGTTGTTGTAACAGCATACGATACGGTGGCCCTAACGTATTTTCGGCAGCAGTCTCGCCTGAAGAGGGCCGCAATTACTTGTCTAATAAGAAGACCAAGTCATTATTTTCGGCTTATTTAACGTTAGACTCGGGAAAAGCTGTGAGAGTTGTCAGTATCCCAAAAGTAAAACTCCTTCAATGTTTGCTCACGTAAAATACGGCCTTCTCAGTGATGAGGGCTGCCAGAATTTGTCCAATGAGTGAACACCACGTATGCAAATACGTACGTATATTTGCACTAAGTTTGTGGATCAGAGACAAATCAGACATGCTATACAATAAGAATAATATGATAATAGCATAGTAATCAAGCATACAATTACAGCATTTTACCACAAGAAAGACCACAAATTGCGACATAATACTATGGTAAAAATCGTCAGCTCTAATTCCAAATAACGCTAAACTGGCAGTAAGCCAAAGCTAAACAAAACTCTACAGATTGCCGGTCCCTAAACTTTGTCGGCTGGCAATTCATGTGCAGGGGTGTCTAAAAAATTCCGTGGAATGTCGCCTGGGAGGTTCGAGTGTGGACGCACAGGCAGAGACAACGGGCAATGCGCATCGTCGCCACGAACGGCAAAAGAGTGGATCGCAGAGGTGTATGACGCAGTTCAGCGCCGTGTAATGCTTAAAAAACTTACAGACATAAACCGTTAGTAAACTGTGAGCCACCGAAAGTACCACAAAGTCCTAAAAATATAATGATTCCTATTTAATAGTAACCATGGGCTGTACAAAGAAAATTGTTGACCACACCAGACACCTCGTAGACCGCGGCGCGAGAAATAATGCGAACATTAAGAGCGTTAAAACGACATCAGAGGCCACGTTAAAGGAAATTTGCCCCTAAGTAGAAGAGGAGTGTGGGCGCATCTGGATGAAGTTCAATGCTGACTTTGTTATGGTCTGAATTCCATAAAAATCTTTGCAGATATTTCGAATGAGTTTACCCGATCGAAGAAAATAACCAAACTGTCTACGTAAACCTCCCCATGATTCCCCAATCCTTTAGATGGACAGCAGCCTATATCACTTTGCACTTTTTTTCCTAACATTTACCACACATCTACTCTCGACGTAACTTCCCTGCGAAGATCTGGGTCTCTATGAATCAACAAAATAACAGCTACTCAAACAAATAAAGTAGGGAGGCAAACATGTAAATCTTGTTTCGTTATTCCTAAGGCGGTATCAGACAATATATACCAAGGCGTACGACTGTGTGCTAAAGGGAATACTCAATGCTTCATGACTGCAAGCTAGTGGGAGCTAACCGCTTCACATCACGTAGGCCCAGAATGTTTCGCATTGATAGGAAAAAAGACGCAACCGTGGTCCGAATCAATGCATACCACCCAGGTTTCAAAATGTCATTCGCGACGTCGACAGATCTCAAGCATTGACAAACTACGTGGACATCTCAAATCTGTCTGATCATTTGTCTACCACTGTTGTGAAAACAGAATTTATTGCGCTGAAAACGAAAGAAACGAAACTAATGTATTAAAACAGGCGTGAGCAAAGGCATTTATTGGAACCAGCAACTTTGCGACGGCTTACAAACTGCAACACATCCATAGAAAGGTTAATACATAAATTGCATGAGCTTTGCACCAGTGCAACAGAAACTAAACGCGATACACACTCTTTCTTCAAAGAGCAAACACAGTTGCTCTATTGAGATGCCAAAGGGGAAGATGACTCGCCCCAGACCAACCTTGCCTAGACATGGCTATCTAATACCTTTCACGGAAAAGTCCATTGCACAAACACTATTATAGTATATTTTTTTATTTAAAGGGGGACAGCGTTTCAAATAGCATGAAGTAACGGTTGCGATACACCATTGCAAGTACTTAAAATGTAGCCGAACCCATATTCAACAGTCTCAAAAGGCTATTCTAATGATACGGTCTAAGGATGCCTTTTCATTGCGACTTCAGATTGTGAATATGAATTCGCATGCACTTGCGGATGCACCTACACAGCGGTCACTTTTTTGATCCGGAAACAGGCTTTCGAGTATCTGTTCGGGTACGACCAACTCGTACATTGAGCAACTAGGAAGCCAACTACATAAGGTGGGGAAACCAGACCCATGCAAACAGTAGGATAGCGTGATCAACCTCGAGTTGCCCCGGTAAGCCCCAGTCCTTCAACACACAGACCCCAACGTGTGTGTTGCATTTCCCCATTTTCCTTCTTCCCTTGCGTCTTCAAGTTACCATTTCAAGTTATTAGTCTATGTGTACTGAACGATTACCGTGCGGTTTGTATTAATCTGCGGAAATTCAATTAGCCGCGTGCTTGTTATTTGTTAGTCGCAAATGATAAACTATCACAAAATTTGTTGACACCAATAAATTCTGTTGTCTATGCCTCGTTCAAAATCATATCGAGGACCAAGTGTCTGAAATCTGAAGGTCATCAATGACCAGCACGCAAGAAGTACGCTACAATGAAAGTATAACGAGTACATCCTGAATGAGGCCATAAACACTCCTCCTTTTAAAGGAAGTACGATACAATTTAAGTGCACCGATTACATCCAAACTGAGACCATAAACACTCGCTCTTTTGACAGAATTGATTACCACTAGCTCGGTTGGTTTTACGGTATAGGCATATTGCACTAATACGATCGATGAGTTGCAGAATAGAGTGAAGTTGGTTTGCAGCTCTGGAAACCGAACACAGCATTGTCATACCATTATGCGGCAAATCCCGCAGGACAAGCAAAACCAATAAAACAGACACTAACGAAACGCAAAACGGACTACCTAAAAGTCAGGTTACAACATCAAGAGATTGGAGTTTCCCAAAATCTGATGATGATGATGATTGTTGTTGTTTGACTATCAATTTCCATGGAGTCAACAAAGTCTACGCGACTTTGCTCCACACTATTTGTCACTGCGAGGGCTTGCGAGTCTGGCCCGCCGTCCATAAAGCGCGCCATCATGCTACCATGCAGGTGCCCGACTATATGCGTAAGTTGTGCTTGACATTCGGATTCCACCATGACTTTGCAGAGTCCATTTCAACCCACTGTGGAATCAACAAAGAGTGGTGTACAGGCCAGCCATAATTTCTTCATATTCCTGCAGTTGTTGAATGCAGAGATCAGGTAAGCGGTTTTACATGACTTTTTGAAGTCGCATTATATTTATGGAAAGAGATCTAGTTCCGAGAATCCATTCAGGCTGTTGAAAGCACTGTTCTGCAATGGAGGATTCCACGGTGATTGTAAAATGTTCTACGGTTTACTTCTACTTTTTAGAAATGGGAATTGGTGATATCGTCGAAGGATTGCGGTACTTGGTCTGATCACCACATCCAAACAACTAAATAGAACAGACTAGTCAAAAGTCTGGACCCAGCCAGGGCAAGTAAGTCAGGACATCTGCTAAACTGTTCCGACTGCATATTACACATGGTAGGCGAGGACGAACAATAGATAGATGGTTTATGAAGGTCCATAGTTAAAGGTAATTTCGCCGACATCACGGTCCCACCGTCTGAGCTATAGAAAAGGGCAAGTTCATTGAATTTATGCCAGCAAGCAAGTGCGTGATTGTACAGTGACCTATGTTTATAAAGGGCCTGTGCGTGCACAACAAATAGCGAAACAATGAGCAACTGTCAGGAAACACTCGTTCGCCGTAATTCCTAATCGGCTTGGTTTAGAACAGTTGCTAGCATATGAGGGTGAAAACAGCGAAGAAGGTCAATCCAATCTCACGATTAGCGCCTTTAAACTTTCAAGGAGCACTAACAGTCACGGCGCTGATAGCAGCTAACCAACGAAGCTACTTGGTAATCTGTTGGGAAAAGGTAACATGTCCATGGTTCCGTAATGTGGCCCTCACGGCATCTCCCTTCGTGCATGGGCCAGCATGCGCAACGCGATTACAGCTGCACGAGCTGCGGTGTCCACGTCTATATCCGGTTTCTGAACGTATTTGGTGCAATAAGAAAGAGTGGGGTAGATGTCGCGTAAGCCTGCTTCGTTATAAACAAGTCACAGTCCTCTTTAGGACAGTGGTGAAAGTTTTTGCTTGCGACAGTAGGTCTGTCTACCCGCATGCGCTTAAATGAGTCTCTATAAATGACACTTTGGCTCTGAGTTCTTAATAAAAGTCCGTTGGAATGGGTAAGATTCGCCAAATCTTCAAACGAACTCCTTACCTGATTAGCCGCTGTAGTTGCTGGTTTTGCGGCCGCAGACGGTTGGTATCCATCGAGGCGATCGAATTTTGCAAAGAGACGTCTGTAGAGCGGCTGGCGTTGAGCTTCCTGGTCATTGGGCGGTAGCAAGCGTCGTACCAGGTCCCTGTCCTCCGCTCGGTAAAGAGCTACCATCAGGGCTTCCGCCAAGTCTCGCACCTGGAAAAAAAACACAGGCAGTTACGAAGATACAGCAAAGCGAGTAATTTCAAAGCCAGAGGCCGTGCGGCATTGGCAAGGTGGCAGATACATTCAGCCACCTAAGTGGCAGCCTAATTCAGCTGGGTATTATCTCACGGTGTCTACTAGCAGCATAACAGGGAATGAAACCTTACGAATACACGAAACAAAATGTAAATGGGTAGTCGGACCACTAAACACGTCGGAACACAAGCAAGCACCTAGTACTATGCTGAGCTAGGTAAAGTATCGGAAGTCAAGTGAGTTACCAGAAGACCAAGAACCAGTGAAAAAAAACTGCGAAATATTGGACGAGAATTAAAGATGA